ATTCCCTCTCCAACTAAATAAGGCCATCCAAATGGGGTTCGCACAAAATATGTTGCTTTCTACAGAAAGCACACCAAAATTTTCTAGGATTTCCAATCTTCTAGCATAGTCTATAGAGGTCTAGATAATTTCCTTTTGAATGCTTATCCCAAATTCTCCCATGAATCCTTGCTACTTGCAGGGTAAACCAAATGGAATTGCAATTTCACCCATCAGGACAAGGAGACAAATAGGCTTAGTTAGAGAAACAGCCAAGAATATCAGCTAATTGTGAATTTTAGACACAGGCACTCTCACCTAAGAAGTTGTTCAGCATTTTGCTTTCACAAAAGTCAAGAATCTAGGTCTGTTCAAATGCAAAAGGAATAATATGAATATTTCTATCAGACAGTACCAATCTAGTGATTTCAGATTTTTCATATTAATCTTAGTAATGCAAAAACAAGTCTTTAAACAGTTGTGCAAACAAATGAAGAGTTTGCAAAATTATACCAAAAAACTAATGTATAAGTGAACTCACACTGGGGATGTGGCGGGGGGGGGGGGAGAGGGAATCCATTGTACATACAGCCTAAAAAAGATTTATCAAATTTCTCTGGAGCATCTCAAAAACCAAAAGTCACAAACAGGGAATCTCTTCAGGGAATCTCACTAAAGCTAAGAGCAAAATTTTTACATGGCTTCACATGTATAATTAACATCAAAATTTCTTGCCTTCTCAATGGCTATGGGAGGGACATGAAGGAGGGAGAGAATTTGCACCTCAAAAAAATTTTTTAGTGAGTGTTGAAAATAAATTAATTAAAAATTAAAGAAAAAAAGGTCCATCACAGCTCAGCTCCTCAGCTGAAGTGCCACTCCCTTTAAGAGGCCTTTTCTGATGCTCCTAGTTGTTAGTTCCACTTCAAATTACCATATATTTAGACATAGACAGATAAACCTCTATAGATAGGAAATATCTCTATAGATATAAATATCTCTATAGAAGGCCATAATAATAATTTTTTAATCACAGAAATGATTTAAAGGTAATGTTTGTGTCTTAAACTAAAATTTACAATTATTTTTATTTTTAAATACTATTTAAATGCTATTAAATAAATAAATAAATGCTATTATTTTAAATACTATTGTGTTGGCAGTACAAAAAGAAACAGAGAATGAGATGTTGCTACTGTCTTTATATTTCATAGTGCCTTTTTTTTTAACTTTTATCTTCCTTGCAATTAAAATATAATTACCTTGCATTAAGTATAGAAAATACAGCAAAATTATAATTTCAGAAAATGAAATCAAATTGAACTTACTTGTTCATACAAATATAAAACAATATTTCACATTTAAGATTATGCCTTTTGCACTGTATTTACAATAGCTAAAATAAATACAGATGTAAAAAGTACAAAATTCAATACTCAGTTTATATTCAAACTATCCAGCCTCTATGTAACATTAAATAATAGAAGATACCATCTTATACAATATGAGAAGTTAGGGCACATGTGCACATTGATATCAACCACCATTTTACTCCTTCATTACATTGGATAATTTTAAAATTTGTTACAATTTGTTATAATATTAATGATTACTATTTTGAAAATAAACTTGAAGTGGCTTATTTTGTTAATTATTAAGAATTTAAAGCACCCAAAACTTTTAAGCAACCATGTAAGACATTAGAAATTCTAAGAAGCAAATACAGGCCTTCAAAAGCAGTTAACTGCTCCAAAAATGGTGTAGGCTATGAATATCTATATTTAAAGATTAATATTCTCAAGCTGTAATGTAATATGACATCTCATCTCCTTTCTCTGCACTTTTGCACAAGCTGTGTCCCATACCTAGAATACTCTCCCTCTTTTTTCCCACTTCTTGAATCCTTAGCACCCTTCAAAGCCTCAGCTGAAGTGCCACCCCCTTTAAGAGGCCTTTTCTGACGCTCCTAGTTATTAGTTCCACTTCAAATCACCATGTATTTAGACATAGAGAGAGAGATCTCTATAGATAGAAAATATCTCTGTAAGTAGAGATATTTCCTATCTATAGATAAAATGGGTCAAATATTATGATATCTGTTAATAGATATTATGATATCTATATATCCTAAAAGTTATTACTATGATTAATGTATCAGATATAATCTATAGATTGATCCCTTTCTATCTAATCTCCAGTATTTACTTATCTATGACCATGTTGCCTCCCCAGTGTGGCCGGAATTGATTGGTACCAGTAACTCTAGTACCTAGCACAATACCTGATACATAGTAGCTCTTAATATGTGCTTATTGATTTAGGCACTAGAAAACACACAATCCTTGCCACCATGGAGTTTACAGATTATTACATAGAAACACAATTCTATTTCAGGATACATTATGAAAAATGCAAGTTTGAGATACAAAGAGCCCAAGAAAATTTTAAGTGGAAGAGAACTTACATCTAAGAGACTCAGGGAAGAGGTGGAACCCAAGTTTAACATTGGTGGAAAAGAAGGCATCTGACAGGCCTGAGATGAAGAGGGAGTGAGTGCATTCCAGACTTGAGGGAAGGGCTCCACATATGCCCAGAAGTAAGAGATAGCAGACAGAGTTTGATCCTGTCTGGCTGAAATAAAATTGTATAAAACTAGATATGCAAACACAATGTAATAACAGCACTATGTAATTTCAAATAAAATATAGAATGAAATATCTCCCCAAAAGAAACCATATAAAAAGAAGAAAAAATGATGAGAGACAATGCAGCATAGTAAACAGAGATTTGGTCTTGGAGTCAAGAAGACCAAATTTTCATGTCCTGCCTCTGTCATATACTTATGAGTACAAAATCTCTCCATGCTCTAGGTAACTCTAAATCTCTAAATTGAATATAAGATATAAAGAGATGATATAAACTTGTATTGGTAGGGGGAATTCCCTCACCATGGGCTCTCAAACCCAGTGACTCCTCAGATTCAGTCCCTATCCTAAAAATGATTGCTCTGATTAATAGAAAAACATTCACTAACATGATACGATTGCTGTTTCGTGTAGCTTTCAAGAAAAGAGTTTTAAAATTTATATGCTTGGCTAACTACATAAATCAAATTAATTGAATAATTAACTACTAAAAACTATTATTATTTATGAGTCTACCCTATCTTCAAGGACATATAGAGAAATTTTCTTAAAATAATAAAGCACACAATCACACTTTTCTCACTCAGAGCAAAAAAATTTTGTCTCAATAAATTAAAAATTGTAAAGTTGTTTATTTCACATGTACCTCTAATTCCAATTTTTACGTGCATATAATTTATAAATTACTCCCAAACATTATTTATAGGAGTATACTGTCAAAACAGTTTGGAGAACAATTGGCCCAAGGCACTAAGAGTTTAAGTGATTTGCCTGTGGTCATACAGTTAGAATGTGTCAGGGGATAGCCTGCTCTAAGCCAAGCTGCCTCTCAGTAGCCCTTTAGACATGAGGGTTCCGAGGCAGCAAGTATTTCTTCTACCACCCCCACCTTTTATAATTGTTTGTGCTCACAATGATCAGGGTTCTTCAAAGCATGGAGATCCCTGAGGTGGAAGCCTGGGGCAGAGGCCATACTTGACCGAATCTAAGGATGGTACTGCACCTATTAGTCTTTTCTTGCTAAATGGTAATGAGTAGGTTACTCTCCAATCTGTCAGGAGTCAGGGGTGCCTCATAGTAAAGACCGCCATCTCTAGAGGCATCAATCACTACGAGCATCACCAGAAGCATGATGGACAACCCAGGCTCAACTTCCTCTGCCCTGCCCATCTCACATTTCAGTTTAATCATTATATTCCAACCCTGCATGGCTACAAGATCTGTCCTGGACCTCACACAGGCCACATCCATCATTAGATTAGGTTTGGTATTAGAACAAAATGATCATTAAATAATTATCAAATAGTTAATGTTAAACAAGTAATAAAATGAGGTTTATTTAACTATCACAAAAGAATAATCATCAAGGACAGGCATTGAAGAAACCGAGAGTTGATTCAGCTGGGCAAAGCTCCCTTGCTTGTGTTGCCCATCATTTTCTACCAGTCAAGTATCAAAGGGTGCCCAGTGCTTTATGCGGCTGCTTTGTACTCAGGTGACTAAGACGTAATATCTACAGTTGAGTTTTTATTTTCCTTACCAAGTCTTAAGGATAGTCTTTGTACCTTCTAAGGAACAACTAACCTAACTCGCAAAGGATCAGGGGTAGTATGTCATTTCTATTACCACTCTCAAGAATTCAATCCTGATGACACAGAGCAACATTATTCTAATCAATGAAAAAAACATACAATTTTTTTACGAGAAAGATGTGGATATACAGAGAAATCAACAATCAGACTACATACATACATAAGATAAGTACATAAGATGGAAAGTAATGTAATAACATATTAAGATGGTGGATAACAAAGGATGATTATTAGAGCATGGAACAATCCTGTAAACAGTATCAGAGTGCTCAAAATAAGTTGATATTGCTGAGGGAAGCTATGTATATTAAAGAGTAAGCTTTTGTTTTGCCTTGTTTTCTTTTGTTTTCACCCAGGCTAGGTGAAAGAAATGGGTCAAAGTAGAGTTAGAGTTATAGCTTGGAGCATTGGAGTGGATAGAGTGAAAACAGAAATTTTTTTTAAAACCTGCTGGGTCTTTATTTTGCTTCTGTTTTTTTTTTTTGTCTGATAGGAAAAGTGACTTTTTTCACTGTAATGGATAGAATAAGACAGGAATGGCTAACAGGGAGTTGGTAACAACTCAGCCACAAGCTTATCTGTCATTGCATTGGACTCGTTGCAACAGTAGCATCAGCAGGTCAGCAGCTATAAGCAGCAAGAAGCAATGAGCTTCCAAGCCCTCTTGACCAAGAGTTCTGTTTTAGCAGCCTCTTCATTCCCTTCTACGTGTAAGGAAAGTCATGGAATTTAGAACCAGAAGGGCAACAGAAAAAAGAAACTCGGTAACCGTCAGCATGTGACTTAGAGCTTCCATTTACTCCCTCTACTGTTTCACAGATCTCCTTTCTTGTCAGTCTTTCAGAGAAGGCAAGGGACCATTAGAAGGACACTGCTTCAAAAGTATGTTAAATAAAATTGAATTAATTATAGAATTGTAATATGAAAATAATTCTATGACTGACTTGAGTGGTTATTATAATCATTAAATAATTATAGTATGGAGACAATGGTAGTCTTTGTAAATTCAAATTATGGGGCTTAATGTTTCCTGGATGGACCCATATTCCTTTTCCTTGTTTCTAGGTCTCTCTCTTTTCATGTTCATCCTTCCTGGTTGCGTGTTTGAATATTTCTCATTGTCAATTTCTACCTGGCTTTTTCTCATCCATCCATGGAAACCCAAAATTCTTCCTTGGAGCCACTCTGCAATGCCCTCAAAGACACCCTGAAATAAAACTCTTCCTTAAATTCCCTATAGACATTAATCTTACAAAGTTGAATAAAGAAATGGCACTTCAATCATTTCCACAAGAGCAATAAGGCATTTTATTGAGTCACTTGAATATGGAGATGCTATGGTAATATGATTTTCTTGAATCATATCATTTGCAGGATTTATTTCCTGCACCAGTCTTCATTAATTCTGAGTACCTTATTGAATTTTGGCATTATTAATAGACCTGAATCATACCTGCCATGATAGAACCTGAAGAGTTTCTGAAAACTCCACTTAGACTTTAGGGAAGTATAGTTCCTGTAAAAAAAAAAAAAGGCACACCTTTCTACCAAGCTCAGTGACACTTAGCTATAGTCTGAAAAAGCTGAGAGTGGAAAAAAAAGAAATAGCAGGGCTCAGAGAGCATTCATTGGTCATATCACAGCTGTAATAGGAAGTAGGGTATGGAAAGGTAGTGAGCTATCCTGAAATACTATGGCAGCAAATGTTATGTGGATTTCCATGGCCCTCTCAGAAGCTCACTCTTTGAAGATTCCTTTTAACAAACATTTAAATGACTATAGTACTATTTGTAACATGTTGCATTTTGGGGAAAACAAGATAAGTAAGATAGAGAGCTTACAATTTTGAAGGGAGAATAATGCGGAAATAGAAGTAAATATAATACAAAGTAGAATATAAAAGTCCATAAGAAACATACAAAGTGTTGAGATTTCTAAGGAGAGGGGGGTTACTTCTGCCTGAAAGATTAGAAAGTTGGGAGATGGAGAGATAGGTAAATGATGTAACTAGGTAAATTCCTCTCCAAAGTAGAGGAATGAAGAAGCTAAAGAAATGTTCCTAGAAAAAGCATGTCATGAAAGGGTTTTCTAAGTGTGGGAGTACTTTGTATATTCCTTGATTGTCTTGGCCACAAGATGTATAGACCAGTAACATTTTTCCAAGATTATGGTGTGAGCCTTGGATTCTTTACACCCTTTCCAAAAGATGTCACTACATTTAACTCCAGTAGATATTATTTTCTAAAGAAATCTCCTTTAAATTAGGTGAGTTCCATTTGACTATTGCTTTGGTATTCATTAAACACACACATGGATTCATTACTCCCCATTTAAATCAGTCTTACAATTAGTGAGAAATGGTGTGAAAATGAATCGCTAACTTAGAATTATACCAGTGAAGAAAAATCACATTATCATTTCATTATTCAAGAGACATGATAAACTCTTGATCACATCAGCAGATATGATTGAAAGATGACTTCTTGGCTGAAGTCTTGGCATATGATTTCTGCAAAGGAAGTACAGAGAATTCATTTGGGATAATAATCTTATGTCATCCCTACTTTTCACAAGGATCTTTATTCTTTTTAACGTAGTTTGTTATGTTTTTTTCATTTTACTGTCTCTCATTTTTTAACTTTTAAATTTATTTAATTTTTAATTTATGGAATGAAACAAGCATTTCCATAACAGTATAATTTTTAAAAAGATGATTACACATGAAACTGCAAATCTATTATATACAATTTACTATTCCTCTAAAATATATAATAAAGTCATCATGTAAATTTCTTTTTTTCTTCCCTCCCCCCTCCTGCCCTAGAGATGGCTACCATTACACACACACACACACACACACACACACACACACACACACACACACGTGTGTGTGTGTCTATGTATCTGTGTGTATAAAATCATTCTGTACATATTCCTATTTATCAGTTCCTTCTCTGGATGCAAATAGCATCTTTATATATCCTTTGTGGTAAATTTTGGTATTTATAATAGTCAGAATGACTTAATTGCTCAAAGTTGTTCTTAAACAATATTGATGTTACTATACACAACATTCTCTTGGTTCTGCTCATTTCACTCTTCATTATTTCATGTAAGTCTATCCATGTTTTTCTAAGATCATCCCACAATTTCTAGTTTTCTGCCACCACAAAGAGAGCTGCTCCACATATTTTAGATTTTTCCCCCTTTCCCCCTAATTATCTTTGGAAGTAGACCCAGTAATGGTATTGCTGGGTCAAAGGGTATAGGCAGTTTAATGACTCTTTGAGCACGGTTCCAGATTGCTCTCCAAAATGACCCTTATAACAACAAAAAAGCACGTATGCAAAGTCCATTGACAGAGATGCCATCAGAGAATATATTCCCCATTCTATATCTGTAGTCTCCACTTTTCTAGTGAGGAGAGAAAGACATGTTACTTTATCAGTTTTTAATTACATTCATCAGAATTCAGCTGCTGTCTGGTGTTATCATCCTTTATACCACTGAGGTTATTATTCTCTTGGTTCTGCTTTCTTTACATATATTTTATTTGGATTAATTTGGCTAAAATATATTATGTGTTTTCTATATTCCATCCATGCCTAAAGTTTCCTAGAGGCAGCTTGGTGGTACAGTGGACACAGTATGGACCTGGAATCAGGAAGAGCCGAGTTGAAATTTGGCCTTACTAGCTTGTGGGCAAGCTGAGCTTGTCACCTGAGAAAGTCACTTAAACTCTGTTTGCCTCAGTTTCTTCAAGTGTAAAATAAGAATAATAACAATAGCTAACATCCCAGGGTTGTTGTGAGGATCAAATGAGTTAATATTTGTAAAGAAATTTGCATAGTTCCTGGCACATAGACCACCCTTAATAAATGCTGTTCCTCTCATGCCTTCTTCTGAGATGTCCTTGGAATGTTCTATCTCCTCACTCTTACCACTTATAATCCTTAGTCTACATCAAGGCTTAATTCAAGAACTTTCCTCTGCTAACAATAGAAAACAAAGTACCTCCAAATTAATTTTTTTTAATTTACTTTCTATATATTTTATATTTGTTTATACGTATAAAAGTTGCTTATAGCGATAGAAGGCAAATTTCTTGAGGGTAATAGATTCCTTCATTTTTGTTTTTCTAAAACTAGGGCTTAACATAATGCCTGGCACATACTAGGTGCTTAATAAATGCCCAAGGCATGGATGCACTTCACAAGTCTTACCATGTTTCTCTGAATAACTCATATTTGTCTTCACTTATAATGCAATAGTACTGGATCTACTACAAATTGATGTCATGTAATCTCCACTGCACCCCCTACTGAAGCAAGGCAATCCTTGTATGCCTTCCTAATGAATTCATTATCCCATTCATCACAATGGCTTCTCTAAACCTTTTCTTACTTCCTCCAACCTTCAATAGTTCCCCTGATCCCACTATCTCAGCTGTAAACTTTGTCTCATATTTCACTGAAAAAAGTGAGGCCATTCACCAGAAGCTCCCTCTTCTTCCCTCTTCCTAATCTCACATCATTAAGATGTCTTCTGCCACTTCTCCACCACTTTCACCTCTGTCTCCCATAAAGAAGTGATCGTTCTCCTTGCCAAGGCAAAACCTTTTTGCGTCATTCATCACATCTTCTCCAAAAGATTGCTTCCTCTTTCACCACTCCTCCCACACTTATCTTCAATCTCTCCCTAGTGGCTTCCACTGTCTACAAACATATCCTTATCACCCACATCTTCAAAAAAAACCAACCCCAACTCTTACTTAATCTATTTATTTCTGTTAGTTATCATCATATTTCTTCTACCCTTTGTGGCAAAACTGCTTGAGAAGACAATCTACAATAGGTGCCTCCACTTACTTTCACTTTCTTCTTCACTCTCTACAGTCTGACCTCTGACCTCATTATTCAAATGAAAGTGCTCTCTCCAAAACTGCTAAAAAAAACCCCTCTTAATGACTAAATGTGACAACCTTTTCTCAGTCCTCAATCTTCTTAACTTCTTTGTGGCCTTTGATATTATCCATCAACCTGTTCTCCTTGATTCCTCGTCTATATTTTTGTAATATTGTTCTCTCCTGGCTCTTTCTGCCAGCATATCCACTCCTCATTCTCCTTTTATGGATACCCCAAGTCTCTGCCTTGGTCAGAATAAATCCTGGCAAGGAATCCCTATACTGAAAAATACTTCTCCCACAACACTTTAGCAACTATGGGTGTTTGAGGTTGGGCATATTTGTGTATACCTGGTGAAAAATTAGTCACCAATAAGATATAACCTATTTTTATTGTAAATAATCAGAGATAAAAAGTACAATGCAGGCAATTTCTGAAGGTTTGCTGGTACTTATATCATCCAAATATACAAGACCAGTGCTTTTATCTGTACACATTAAGTACAACTTTCACACTACTTAGTTACTTTTGCTAACATTTTGGACTTTAAAAAAATTCTTATTACATCGAGGCTCTTTGCTTGATGTATATGTCCAAAATCATGAGGCAACACTTTCATGGCCACAAAACAACATGCCTTAGATAGCAATGACTGCTTCCTGGCTACTGTGTGTAGGATGTGGCATTCCATTGCATAGTTCCAACTTCAGCCATTGTCTCAATGGTAAGACCAGAACTTCACTTACTTGCATCCTTCAGCATCACTTGCTTCCTTCTTGTCATGTATCATTTCTCTCAATCCTTCATTATCCATCTGATCTTGCTGCTAGTAACCCACAAAAATTTATCACAAAGAAGAAATTTTACTTAATGAAATAAGGTTCACATTAGTGGCCATCACACCATCTAGTGGAAATTCCAAGTTCTCAGCTACATTTCCATTTATTTGTAGCCCATCTCCTTGGATATCATATATAA